GTAAAATCTGCAAAAAGAGGTAATTTTTCGATTCCGCTAATGATCAAGCGTTACCCCCTTTGAATGTGAAGTGACCTCACATTCAAAGGGGGTAACGATGTAACTCTATTCTTTGCTTATTGATTAGAAATTCCCTTCTGCAAAATTTGCCTTACTTGTATTTTACATGAGATATAAATCTCTCTTTGAAATATGTTTTAAGACTAATAATACCCTTTTATTTAAATCCTCAAACAAACATTCCCTAAATTTACCCCTTTTTGTGCAATTTTCAACTATCTGCATGCATACACAATGAAAATATGCAGTGACACCACCGGGCTACATACAAACAATACACCTGGGTCAAAGAGTGTAGTCCAGGTTTCACTCTCTTGAGAAAGGGGAATTCCCTGCAAGATTACCCACCCGCCTTCTTTTGTTAAGTGCTGCTTCAATATAGGCCTACTCTGTACTACGACCAGACGGGGTGTTTACAAAAGGAGGAAATAGTACACTAAAATGGCTGTAAATCTTCAACACCATAATGATGATTCTATGGAGAGGGTTAATCATCCGCTAGATCTCTACATTGGTACAAATCTTTATGCCTAACTGTCCCTAAAGCCTCTCATACATTTACATGTAGCAGATTTGATCATTTCTTACAATTGAAGGATTTATGATGGATTGTACTATTTAGGGATTTTACTGTAATCGTGCTTGAAAATCGGTTTAAGATACAAAGGACTTTTCATGCTGTGCTCATTGTTGCATGCACTGCACCCATGAAAGACATTCAGTATGTAAACTCTGACATGTGTACAATCTGACACGTGTACAATCTACATGTTCAAAACTGCTGCTCCCAAACTGTGGAATAACCTACAATGTACCAACACTTCTCTTTGTAACCAACAATCTGTCAATACCTTCAAAAATTATCTAAAAACTTACCCCTTTAGTTAACAATATAACTGTAAAGTGCCTTTGAACATGTATGGAAAATGCGCTATATACATGTAAATACATTATTATTATTATTTTGGCTAAATAACATGTAGGTGATGGGTAAAATTAAGTATTATCTGTTCAAACTTTTGAAAGAAAATTGTATAAAGAAACGTATTTACAAAGAACCATCGTACAGCGTAAAGAGAATACAGACTAGAAAATGACATTATGAAGAGACCAGTAGACTGATAGCTGGCCATCATCAGCTCACTCTTGCGATAATCATTGTCTCATTTTTGTTTCAATATCTCTTTATTAACAATCATAATCACTAACAAAGATTCTCAGAGAGAATAGATTGAAAAAGGAATGGTTTCATTTCAGAAATATTTTGAGAGCGTTGGAAATGTGCTAACACGAACATGTCCATGTATTTTATGTTTTGTATTATTTTATATATTAAAATACTAATTTTGTCATTCATTTTTTTTTTGCCACAAAGTTTTTGGTTGTGATGATGATTATCTTTGTTTAGCCATCATGTATGGAGATTACTTCTTTAATTATTTGTATACAATTTATGAATATATACTATATTGTGTATATTATGTAATGGAATTTGTTTTGAAAATAAAGAACCCTGTGGAAGGGAAAAAAAGAAGAATCATAACAAAGGAAGTGAATAAATAGTACATACACTTGTATAGACACTACAAAAAAGTATATAAAGGTAGGAAAGAGAAAAAGCCCAGGACATGTTCTATTATTAACAATGCAGGGCTAATACTTCATATTATTCATAATGGAATACATGATTCACTATGTACAAAGAATAACAGTCACGATTACATAAAATAAGATGTTTAGACAAGGGCGGGGACCTGATTTTTTATCAAGTTTTTGTATTAAAAGATGCTCAAACATGAGTTGCATTATGAATACATTGTTTCATTGTACCAGTACCGACCAGTAAAAGGGGTTATTACTTTTGTTTACATGTAGCTTAACAATGAATTCATTGTAAATACCGGTACAACGCTTCATTGTACCAGTTCAGACTAGCTACATGTATACAATGAATTCTGGGTGTCTGAACACAGTTAGGTGCATTGTTTCGTGGTATTCATTTGGTTAATAAGAAACCAAGGTTTCATCTAAGTCCATAATGAATGAGGTGACTGATTGAGTCTATTTTCAATGTTATCACACAGATAATCTTAAGGTAATCTGATCTCATACTGTTTGTTTTGTGTAATTAGAAATGAGCATTGATGTAAGGTGATGAATCATTAGCGACCCTGATATTAAACAACACAACCCCTGATAACAAGGAGACTGCTAATCTCACATACTATTTTAGGTAGACTGAACTGTTTTATAGACTGCAATATAAATAATGTTCTCTTCTCTGTATGTTTGTATGCACAGTATGTTTATCATTTAGTCACTGTGTCCATGTTATGTTCATCCTGAATATCTAGAATGTCTAAGGCGAGGCGTCAAAAATATCGATACCAGCAGGCTGCCGCCTCACGTATTGGCGCATCGAGGCTGCAATTACGGCCGAAGCCTGGCTGGGGCAATTATTTTTCACTTATTAGCCCAGCCGGCTTGCGCCAGGCTGGGATCTGAGGCTCGGTTTCCATTCGAAAGGCGGCAGCCGGCGCATGCTTTTGTTCGGAGACCATTATGATGACATCATGAGTTAATTGAGGGTCCTACCGCCAGCGGTAGCCGGCTGAGCTAATTTATAAAATGCAGCCAGGACGCACAAGTGCAGTTAGCTGCCGCTGGCTGGTATATTTATTTTTGACGCCTCGCCTAAATACAATTTCAGAAATTCAACAACTAAGAGAAGGCTACTTTGCATTTTTCTTTTCAAACTTATAAAATGTATCAAGAAATTTCAAGTGAGAATTCTCATTTATTCACTACTTATTCAATACCTATCAGTATGTTTTCATAATTATAATAGTAGAACCGTGGTAATTCAAACTGAATGTTTTTGTAGCATACATTCACATTTATTACAAGTCATAAATATTCTTTATGAGATCTAGACCTTGTACTTCTGGGCGTAATACTTTTCTTTCCATTTAAGACCGATTTCCTGTTCTATATTTGCTCGAGCTGATATAGACCAAACTTACCCATTTAATACAAATATGTATTAATTCATGGGAAATAATGTTCATACTTTAGATTTGCTTGCTTTGAATGTCAATTAACGATATACGAGCCAAAGATTGCTAAAGAGGAAAAGGGAGAGCTGAAAGCTTGAACAGCTGTGGTCATGCTTGATCCCTTGTCGGTCCCGTGCAGTCTAATTTATGTGGGTGTGTTGCCAGGGCAATAAATAGCGGAGTTGTATCTGGTAACATAATTGTAGGTTAATGTCGGATAGTAGTTTGATCAAGTTTTTGATGCGTGCCAAAAATAGATTCTGCTCCATGTACATGTAGTATCTGAAACTAAAAATTAGTGCAAATACTTTAACAAGTTTTTGAGTGCATGATAGGTTTCACATTTTTGTTCGAAGAGTTCCGTATAATTTTCCCTTTTATGCAAAATTTAGTGCAAAGACCTGGACAAGTTTTTCAAGTGCATTATTGGTTTCACTTTTTTGTACCATGAGTTTTGTATAATAATTGCCCTTTTTGGCGAAGTTTAGTGCAAAGGCTTGGAACAGTTTTTTCGAGTGCACGATAGGTTTCACATTTTTGTTTTCGAAGAGTTTTGTTTGTTTGGTCCTTTTATGCTGAATTTAGTGCAAAGGCTTGGAACAAGTTTTTGAGTGTATGATAGCTACATGTAGTTTCGCACTTTTGTCCAAAGAGTTTTGTATGATTTACTCTTTTATGCGAAATTTAGTGCGAAGACTTGAACAAGTTTTCAAGTTCATGATAGGTTTCACATTTTTGTTAGAAGAGTTTCATATGATTAGTCCTTATGTACTGTAGGAAAGGGCGTGTTCTGTTATATCTTTGTCACACCAACAAGATCGACAACGGACCAAACAAAAAATAGTACATTATCATGGCCAATAATCGGTCTGTTTGGAGTAGGTCTGAAGTGGTTGGTAGTGTGACTGACGTACATGTATGTATCACTAGAAAGGAATTACCATATTTACAGCTAATCATGTCCTTGACAAATACAATGTCCTTTGTATGTAAAATGATATGTACAGAGTTATACAAAAACAGGAAGTAATAATGATTTGACTAAGTTTGACTTGGAAAAAGGAATTCCTCTTTCATATTGATTACCGGTATTATTTCATTTGTTGAATTGATAGTATTGAAAGTTACAAGATGTTTTAAAATCTTTTGAATGAATAGAAATATAAGTTAAATACTATTATCTGACATTTTTGGAAGTCTGTTGTGTAGTTGAGTATTAATCTATGTTTGAAAGTATTACTGTGCTTGTGCATATACATATACATATTTTTGGTGTAAAACTTGTCAAAAGCATCCATAAATTTAATTTAAACTTAAAGATGAAGTTGAGTTATGGTCATGCGATTGCATTGTGAAAGAAACGGTACGGAACCGACCAGAAAAGGTTGATCATCTAGCATATAAGAATTTGTGTGTATTGCAAGGTTCTGGAATCATCAAAATGATAAGAAATTTGGCCAAGTCTTGGTAAAGTTACAAACACTGTACACAGAAAGATGTATATGGGGCTACACGAACACGTGGCGTAAAAAGCCGGCCCCTCGATTTTTACGATGTTACATGCATATTTAGAATATGAAGGCATTTGAAGAGCCATGCTTTTCAGGGAACATGTCTTAACTGATGTTCTTCCACACTTGCATAATAAGAATGAGTAACGCTCACAAATTATTTTTCACCTCTTCCCAGAACTCAACTTTCTCTTTAAAGTATATTGCACGGTTACCCTGCTGTTTATCACACTCTGGAAAGACTTTCTATTTCATTTGAAAAAATTAAAGTCAACCGTTTGTTTTGTATAATTTGTCTACTAATTCCCTACTAATTGTTGAAATCCTTGAATTGAATCTAACCTGTTGTATTCTATCCCTGTACTCTTTTCAGCTGGAGTGAAGCAAGCGCTTGGTCGAAACTATGAACATGGTCCAATCAAACTGGTCAAGATGACCAAAGGCACTGAGCTGGAGGATAGAGTATTGGTAAGAAAGCATTTTATTATTTTAATATTGATGATAATTGGATATGTAAAGCACATCTTTCCTGAGGACACAGAGCAATGATTACTAACACAAAGGCTTTCATCATCCTACATGGATGAGGTCCCAATTTCTCTCCTGTGTATGGAGTGGCAAATGTAGATTAAGTGTATAAGATGGCAACTTTCTTCAGGCACTGTTAAAGATTTTGGAGTGAACACTTCATGTGAGTTTGACTACATTGATCACCTTTGAACACAAGAATATTAATAATATGAATTATGGATTTATATCTAGAGCTTCATATAAAAAGGCCATCTCGAAGCCCTTTACAGATATTGTAACCCCGGTCATCGGACTTATTCACGCACAATGTGCATTATCACCACTCCCTGGGGATTATTCCTACCATAATACCGTGAGGGCATATGGCAATTACTAACACAAAGGCTTTCGACATCCTATGAGGTCTCAATTTCTCTCCCGGGTATGGAGTGGCAAATGTAGATTAATGCCTTGCCAAATGACATAAGGTGCTGTGTCAGGGATCAAACCCATGACCTTTAAATTTCAAGACAAGTGCTTATATACCACTCGACTACGACACCTGTAATGTTAGTGTATTGTAGCAAACATCCTTAACTGAAAGCTTAAGAACTCCCAGAGGAATAGCAAGTAGAATCTTAAAGATGAAGTTGAGTTATGGTCATGCGATTGCATTGTGAAAGAAACCGTGTGGAATCGATCAGAAAAGGTTGATCATCCAGCATATAAGTATTTGTGTGTATTGCAGGGTTCTGGAATTATCACAATGAAAGATGTATATGGGACTACACAAACACGTGGCGAAAAAATCCGTCCCGATTTTTAGGATGTTACATGCCATATTTAGAAAATGAAGGCATTTGAAGAGCCATGCTTTTCAGGGAACATGGTTAATCTGATGTTCTTCCACATTTGCATATAACAATGATAACGCCCACAAATTATTTTTCACCTCTTCCCAGAACTCAACCTTCTCTTTAATTGAAGTTTTGCTTATACCGGTATTGGATATTACATCATGTTTGTGATAATGAATGACATCCTGTATGACCTATCGTTGCATCCAGGGTGATATCATAATATAAACATTGGAACTATAAGAAGGATCGTTACTTTTTCTATACATTTTTCAGCAAATAATTCATTGTAGAAATGAAAATGGTTTTTGGTCTAATGTGGTTTTCATCATAAGCTATGAATATTCTTTCTGCAGATTGTTATTTATTGCAATTAGTTTGTGGCAAATATATGGAAAAAGTGTAAAATCGAAAGAATGTTTCAACATTATTTCCTGAAATCATGATCTAGAATTTTAATGAAATTGTAGACCTTTCTTTTTCAACACAATTATGTCGTCAAAAAGTAAAGGACGATTTGCAATCAAATTTGATTAGGGTTGGTCTACAAAAGTTATAAAATGATCTAATCATTCTAATGCAAGTGGGTGTATATCCATACCACAGACAAGGAATTAAAGCTTTTGTTATGAAGTTATTATACTTTATCATGGCGGTTATTATTAAAACTTTTTCAAGCGTTCACCAGTCTGAATCCCTGGTACATGTACTTCTGTCTCGATTGTAAATAGTTTTAGGATTGTCATAAACCTTGATAAATTATTTATTGTAGTACACAGTTAACCATGACTTGTTATGTCTTAGACTTCAAATTACATGCATAGTACAGCTCCTTGTTTGATCATTTTATGAATGTCTACAGATCAAACATTTGTTTATTTTATTACATGTATATTGTTCCTTTTACATGTACATTTAATAGTGTCCTTTTTTTTGGGGGGGGGGGGGGAGGTAGTGAAAGCACGACCTTCATCTTCATTGTGTTGATACATTTTTTGAACAATTTGATGTTTTAAACTGAAGTTTATTTTAATTGATTCTCTACATTTTTTAGCTAAACGAAATGATTACATACTGTAAAGATCGAATCAACAGTAACTAAAAACACTGATATATCCTGCACAAATCACATTCACATTTATTTTCCATACAGGCAGATTCATAGGAGTCTTTAGGAGACGTTTCGCTAGTATTCCTAGTTTTCCTACCTACATGTACTCAAAGATTATCCAGCACAAGTTTTTGCAGTACAATAGCATTCAGGCTTGTTAAAATTCTTTTTTATTTACATATTGGTATACAGAAACTGTAGACTTTGTTCTCCTTCTGAAACATTCACGTTCCTTACTTTCCATGTGTCATTAAAAAGCTTTTCATTTTGCATAGCGTGATCGCAGAAACACCATGTGACCATTGTTATTTGAACTTGGTAGTTTCAGATACTAAAGCTGAATAGTAGTGAGCTATTAAACAATAGTCCCTCTTATTGTGTGTTCAGGCCTCTGTATTGAAGTCTAGCAGTGTATTGGATACTTAATACTTATGAGTAGTGCTGTAACATCACGGATATCTCCAATTCCGTTTAACCGCCAGTCAAAACCGGACGTTTTTTTTTGGCTGTGCGAAAAAACGGGAAGGACTGCGAGGTGATTTAACTGAAGGCGCCGATTTGTGCTTGTGAACTAGTCACAAATAATAGTAACACTGTCGTTTTAGAATAATGTGTAAGATCATTAATGTAAATTAAAAACAGTAGAGGACCTAGGATAGAACCTTGTGGTACACCATGTGTTAAACTTTGATGAATATATATATTGAGATCTATTACAAAGATTACTTTCAAACCAAGATGACAGACAAATTGGAGTGTTGTTCTAGTTTCCAAGTGGTAAGTGATCACACCGATTACTGAGCTGGGAGACATTGCCAGGCATAGTGCCAGGTGGAGGGGCATAAATCGAAACTTTAAAAAAAAAAAAAAAAAAAAAAAATTAAAAAGGGGAAAACGAAACCGTCCAATTGAAAACGGAATCCGCCATGGGCGGTCAGATATCGGACGGTTAAACGTTTGACTACAGCACTACTTATAAGGACCTGTTACATGTACATGTACCTGTTAAATAATGAATTTGAAGTAAAATTTATGATGAACTATTAAAGATGAGCAAGTGGGCCCATGAGGCCGTGTCCCACAAGGAAGTATGATTTTTTTTGTGGTAAATGTAGAGTGTGCAATGTGTAACTTTCTGGGACTATTAATTTGTTTGAGGCAGGATTTAAAGTCAGGTCAATGTACTACATGTACTACTTGCTTATAAAATGATTCCATGTTATTGGTGAATTATTCAACAGTAATTTCATTTTCAAAGTGTTAAAAATTATACCCCCAAATTATACAATCTATTCAAAGATTGGAAATTAAGTTTGAGTAGAATCCTAAAATATAAATTGATATATTTAGGATAAGGAGTGCCAGTCATTTATCTCATAACTCCCCTAAATTGTAAGAATGAAAAGTAATTGCAATCAGTCATACCTTTTGTTTTAAAATTTAAAGTATTAGTTGTTAATGTTATTGTTTTGGTATCAATATTTTGTCTTGTTACTTGTTCCCTCGGTAATTACCCTATTGTTATGAATCTTTGTATTTCCTGTATCTCTTTATGTTCTGTATGTAAGCGAAGCGATATATGGTACTTTGTGTTTTAACGCTCCTAAATGATCAATATCATATCATTGTTACTCTTTGTACGGCCTCGCTAACATAGTACACACTGTAAGCCTTGCACCGGAAGCCAGGCAAGTTTTTTATTTTCATTTTGTTATAACATGGAAATAAAACAAAGAAACAAAACAACAAAATGAACAAAGCAAATCAATAATCAATGCAATTGGGAGGAGTGAAAAATATATAATTAAAAGGGAAGGGAGAAGATAAAACAGATAGTAAAAAGGGAAACAATACTGCATTCTTTAGAGGTTATATTTTCAATATATATACTTGTATGGGGAGAGGCTAGCAGAAAGACACTGAGACATCATGCAAACCATGTGATAAATGACAATAATTTATATAGCACAGCTTTTATACAAAATATATTCAGCTGCACTTGTTCAGAGCTCCTTTAAAAAAAACTCAATTCTACAAAGTGGAATCTCTCAATTGAACAAATCTGTTTTTAATTTTGATTTGAAGACATTGAGAGAGATGCAAGCATGATACATGTAGCTGTATGACATGTACATGTAGACTGTGTGTAGGCACAATAGAAAATACCTGTACAGTCATGCATAACAGCAGGAAGTTTAAAAGTATGTAAAGTATTCTAAAGTAGAGGATCTGACTAAAACCCTCTATTTACTGTAGATTGGACTATATTTTAGGGAATTCCCTATTTTGCAATACAATGCTTTTACATACAGGTACATGTATACTATTACTTTAACCTGGTTAGATGTTTTGAAAGCCTTAAAGGCAATACAAAGTTTTGGGAATTTTTGAAAATTGGGTGGATAGTGATTCTTTTCAATTTTAATATATTTGGATGCCCCTGTGGATGTATTATAAGCACTAGAAAATTTAGCCCCTAAAACACTTCTGCTTTTGAGAAAAATTGAATATAAAAATTTACCGGTGCTCCCGGTAAATTTTGATAAATTTCAAATAGCGCCTATGGCCGTACAATGGTAGCTGCGACCATGACAATCTCATAATATGTAGTTGTGATATATAATTTCCAAACGGGAATAGCTAATGGGTCAATTTAGTCAAGAAACATAGTTATATAGCTTAATTAATATATTGACCTTGAGAGGGAGCTATACAACATAAAGAGTGTATTATTTAAAATTTCATAACTTTGGACTCGATTTCAACTTTGACAATGATCACTGAATATTGTAGGATCGCTTCGATGTGCTTCCAATATGTTCATTTGAACCGAATTCATGACCCAATACCAAAACTTTGTATTACCTTTAAAGCAAATGTTTTGTTATCACAACAGAGGCAGTTATGATGACCCTATTCTCCTCCAAATATCCGTTCTATTGTAACAAGTGAACCACACCCAAAAGTCATTCAACTGAATAATCCTTAACCTAGTGCTGTAAGTCAGACGCTATGTTCGTGTTCGGTTCGGTTCGGCAGAGTTCGGCAATTTTTCACCCGAACTTGGTTCGGTTCGGGGTTCGGTAATATAATAGCAAGCAGCGTTATAGCCACGGCGGTCGGCACTGGGCGGGCCAGCCGGCCTGCCGGGCCCGACCAGCACGGAGGACTTCTGCACACTGCTTCCGACCAGCACGAATTTCACATTGAAAAACTGCTCTAAACGTAATTATTTGTGAAGAAAAATACTACTTACATTCGTATTTCCGTCTTGAATCGTGTTTTATTTTCAATTTTAAAAGAATCATGTTTTCAATTTGTCAATAAATGATATTTTTTAAAGATTTTCCGAGACGGTTGTTGTCTAATGTTAGAGTCATGAAAGCTGCCATCTTGAATAGAGACTCAGCCAGGCTCGTCAATAACTGTTTTTTAGAAGTTTTTATTTTCAATAGGAAAAATATAAAATCCCTATTTTTCCTAAATAAATAAATACCATACTATAATATATATTTATTTCATTATTTATATTGTAAAATTTGTCCAATATTAATTGTTACAATTAAAATATTAATTTTTTGTTGAATGGGTTTGAGCTGAACTTGTTTTGATCACGCACATGTATTCTTGTTTATGGCTTGCGATCGCGACGTAGCGTGGTCAGGATTTGGGATTTAAATGGCGCCAGTGAAGTCGCGCCCACCACTGGATAAATCACAAAGGCGGAAAATGGAAAAAAAGTAAATATAAAATGAGCAATCATGACATGAAAATTAGGTACAAAATGACAAGTTTATTAGCTTGCAAAAACGTTTTTTTATTTTTCTGCCGAACATCCGAACCAGGCCTTTGCGTTCGGTTCGGTTCGGTTCGGTTCGGAAGTGCCATGTTCGGCGAACTTCCGTTCGGTTCGGCGGTTCGGCTACAGCACTACCTTAACCTAAATATTATGAGCATTGTCAAAACATTTGGAGACAAACACATGTGAGAAATTAATTTTAGCTAATAAAAATTATAATGCTAATTGAGTTCTAGATTTACTTAATCACTAGGATGTGTGAATAAAGAGCAAATGCTATACAAATTGAATATTGATTGCTGTGAGGGGCATGGTTAAAACTATAGCCCAAGGGGATCTCAAAACTGTACTGTGCCCCGAGACGAATTTGAGGGCCATAGTGCAGGCTCGAGATCGCCTAGGAGCTACCGTTTAAATATGAAGAGAAAATTGAGCTGTCAATATTTGTTTTGTACACCGCATGCTGCTCGTGGATTCTCACAAAGTGAAAAAGGCCAATGAAATGAAATTAGTAACCTGTTCAAAATATATTTGAAAATTAGAAATTTACCAATCTGAAAGAAGAGCGCGTTAAGAGGAGAGTCATCACTTTTGCATGTCAAAAACCTGCTGCACTATTCGTATAAGAGTAGGGGGAAACCCCGGTGTAGTGTTCCACCTGGACACCCCCAATCAGTTATACCGGGAGGAGAGACCCGAGGGTTACAGTGATTCAGTTCGCTTTTCACCTCCCAGGCACAGGTGATGTCAAATACTTAATAAGAATAATTTCATGGGACTATTCTCCAGGATTTCAGCAAAATTGCATAAACTTAAAAGGTGACGATCACCCCAGAATATGTTTCTCTGTATTAAAGCTACATTGTAGGAAGGGGTCTTGTGTCACTCTACTTTATTAGAAAATACGAGCTTTGCAGGACTTATATAAACATAAATACACCATAATGTTGTTCTAACATATCAAATGTATGCAATGGTGACTTCTTGGTATATGCCTGTAATCTCATATCACCATATTAAATTGTTTCTTTTTTTTCCTTTCTGGTTTACAGGCACTCACTCAATACAGGACCTATATCCTACTCTTCACAGCAAAGCCAAAGGTTTGTATACATACATTATTAGCTTCTTCCATGATAGTGACTCTCAAGCATAATAATTACACATGCTAAATGATGACAAATATTTTACATCAAATAGCTTAAAACATCTCTAAATTGTTAGGACTGAGCCCCAAAAATTTGATGGCAAAATTGATTTAAAAAAATATATAAATATAATTTGGGTTTTCTGTTGTACACAGAAAACCTAAATTTTGTATTCTTTCATCAATATTCAACTTCAAACACATTTGTTTCGAAAATCCTTGCAGAAATTTGTCTTAAATGATGTCCTTTTTCACATTATGAGACAATTTAAGTGAAATTTTGACATCAAATTCAAAAAAAGAAAAAGAAAATTCGGGTTAAGTCGAGCACGTACGTGTACCTATTTTTCTTCACTTTATTACATGATCATCATGATGTTATCTGAATTATTTACTGTATACTCTATGTTGAAATCATTGTTACATATATAATTTATATATACATTGTGTTTCATAATGTACCGTTGAGAAGGAAATAAATTTTAATAAATACAATGCAAATCATCAGGAACTAAAAACTGAAAGTTTGTACAATGAGAAGCAAAAAACTGGGATGTGAGAGGATTCTTGGAATATAAACAAGTCAGTGCACTTCATGATTGCACTCAAAAGATAATGTAAAATAAAGCTGGACCCCTTTAAAAGTACATTTCATAGATGAAATGAAAATAAAAAACAACAATAGCTGTTTGAGTTCAGATAATTTATAACAACTGTAGCTTCTCCAGAGATATACCTCTTTATTTAAAGACACATGGCAAATGACATTTTGGTTATATGATAGTTATTGCCGAATACGTGTACATCCATTTTTCGTTACAAAATCCAGTTAAAAACTAGATTATTCATACCCTAATCAAGTTTTGTAATTTGTTCAGTATGTGAAAAATTGATTTGTCCCAATTTATGTTTCTTGAGAATATGACATATTAAAGTTTACATCTGAAAGTATTCAACAAAGGTCCTTATTCAGCCTGTTCAGCTTTCATTCATGAGTTACAAAAAAACACAACAAATATCAAATTTATGAGGGGTATGACTGATTAACTGTAATTCCCTCAATGCATCAATTTTCATGTCATTTGTTTATGTGTACAGTCATGTAATATCCTTTTAATAATCATAGAAATTAATTAATAATTAGATCAATTTATTTCATGCAGCTATTATATAAAATACTCGACTGTCCTGTGATGGAAAAGAGAAAAAAAGGCCAGCATTGCTACTTTACGGACACACAACCAAAAATAATTCAAAAGCCTCTCACTGCCTGATATTTAATGACCGGATAATTCACAGTTCATGATTATATATTTACTTAGACTTGCATTTAGTTTAAATGAGTCATTGTGCACGTCATTCTATTCAAATGTTGTTCTTAAACTGATATTTGATAGGTGTGAAATGTTCTATTGTCATATGAATTGTACCCAATTGTCAAGCCAAACCACATTTATTTATTTGATGAAGATTGATTACGCTGGGGTAATGATGTATGATATTGTTTAGATACATTTTTTCTGTGGAAAGGAGTGTTTGTTATGTAGGATTGACAAGAGAGCAATGACATTAATGGGAATAAAAATGGAATATAATTATACAGGAGAGAATGCAGTCTCAAAGGAAATACAAACTTTTAAAATGGTCCTTACTTAAAGAGGCATCAGGTATTTTTTGTTTGTTTATTAATGATTTTTTTTTTAAATATAAAGAAAACATGAACAATAGCATCTCCAAACATTCCATATTGAATTGAAATTTATTTCCATCATCATGACAATATATACAAAGATAAAATATGGAATTTCATAACATATAACAATATCAAAATTACATATAAATTGACATAACAGCATTCAAAATATAAATGGAAAATGGTGCATCCGTAAAAGCCAGTAAGGCTTGACAATTGAATGCACCAGGCGCAGAAGTAATAATAACATATACATATAATAAAATATTGAAATATCAAATGCATTGCAACTCATACTCTTGTAAGAATATGAAGCAAGGAAGCTATGAATCATACTAGATATTCAATGATGTCTTATTATAAGAACCTCATTAATCTTAGCTATGGTATAGGAAGGACAGTTATCGAAGAGGAAATGATTGCATTCAACTCAGAAGCAATCTTAATATGATAATGACACTAATGATATGTGGGGGGTATTAGGATGTGAATGTAGGACAGCGTTATGAAAGGTGGGGTTATTTTGATATATAATTAATATGACTTTTTGACAGTCAACTAATACAGTAGATTAGAGTAAGATGATATCAAGTAGCTGTCATGAATTGGATAAATAACCAGCAACAGCTTCCTCCCTGAGATCATTTGTTTGGTCACGTTTGAGGAAGACAGAATAAATACCGGTAGTTGATAGCTGAGGCTGCATTATAATTTCCTGTTGCCTTGAAATGCCATTCAAAAGAGACATGATAACTGCCTTGAACAATAAAGCAGCATAATAGAAATAATGTACCTCATATCATACCAGTGGTGAGTAACATTCTAGGATTCTAGGAGGGTTTGAAAGCCACCCCCATAGATTTTTTGTCAAGCACTCCATCAACTTTCTGCAAGGCATACCTATGTAGAAAATGAATGTACATGTAAGAACCTCAAACAAACAAAAAACAACAACAACAACTTCTAGAACCACTTCTGATGCATACAGGTACATACCGTACATTTGTCAATGGTGCATGCAACTACACTGCATGTATTTGTACACCCTAATCATGTACATCTTGCCACTCAATTCATTTATGCTTTATCCATAAATGTATGTCACTGTAAGAAGAAAAAAAGGGAAGGTATAATAAGTGAAGACTTCATTTCATATAGGCTTACAATGTACATGTATATAGAGCAAGTAGGGAGTACAAATGTGGCTACATGCAAGATAAAGGTTACCTTCATCAATGGTAAGCGCCCTATGCTTATTTTATATTGCTACTGTGGTTTTTTAAGATGGTTTATTGTATGGTGTATGTACAATAAAGGTTGTAAACAAGGAACTATCTTTCTTTGTTTTGGTTTCAGATCGAGTACAAATTCAATCATCTTGAAATCGATTCGTTGGAGAGTGAGAAGCCACTCAAGGTAAGAATCTCTTTGGTTATTTAAGACAGTTCTAAACAAGATTAAGAATCCATAAACATATTTATTCAGTAATTCAGACACATTCGACTATCAGTCACTAACTAGTAACTTCACAGTATTCCACTGAATAGTTAGAGGAAATCAACTTTTTGTAACCTTTGATAACGGACATGACACAAAATGGACAAGTATTTTTACCCCCTGTTAACAGTTTGATAAGTCTGTGATGTGATGGGGGGGGGGGGTTCAATGGATCTAGTTTTGGTATGAACAGAAGCTTATTATTATACTCCTAACAGAGATACACATTGTGAAACAATTGTTTTATACATGTCCTTGTAATAGCTAAAAAAATATAGCATAACAGACATGAAACTTTTGTCCTCTTTTTATAAATCCCTGAAGCTTTGCTTTAACATGTCCAATGTGTCATGGAAAGCTCTCATCAGTAATCATTGATCACATCACAATAATTTACTACTAAGGAATCAAATATGAAGTGACTATGGTGCGAAATAATAAGATCCAAAGATTCAATGTTTTTATTAAAAATATTGCCATATTATGCCCTTAAATGTACTTCACCCCTACTGATATACTGCTCCATGTGAAGAGCTGTTGATCGAGTTCTTTGTTTGATACTAATGGAGCACATATTTATGTAGTTATTGCCAATGTTGTGATTTTTGGCCAGTGAACTTTTTCCATGGACTTTGCTCTAATGTAAATACAGCTGCAGTTTCTAAATGAGTACTATACAATGTAGGTAGCACAAGTACTGACTCATATAAGGCAGTGGATGGGGCATATAAAGTGTAAGGTACAAAAGGTTACCTTAAAGCAAATTTTAAACATTTATATCCAGATTAAGTTGTTATTGGTGAGATTTCAAATGAATTTTGAACTGTTGAACATTTAACAACATGATGCAAACTCACGTGCCAAATCACTTCAAACTGCAATGTAAAAGGCACCCTAAAAAAGACCACAACATAAATACAATAAAGAAGAAGAAAATACATAGTATGAATAGTATTTCTCCTCAGAATGAATTTTTAATGAATTGTATTTTTATAAAAGAAATGTTACTAAATCTTCCTAAGGATTCAGCAGAATCAAGAAATTGTTAACTTGTACCTTTAACTCTACTCTATGTACCTTGGTACAGTATTTCGTTTTGCAAATATATGATGTTGTAAATGTATACGCCATCATAAAGCTGGCTCAGTAACATTCTACAGCAATGAATACATGTAATTAATATGCTGTATAAATATAGTCCACATTCACGGTGTAGTGTATAGAATGACAAGTGTCCATGAATTTGAATATGCTTGAATACCGGTAGTTGATTGTCGTAATGTTTCGCTTCATCTCTAAATCTCTCATGTATTCCATCTATTTCTCTTTCCCTTTCTTTCTCTATCTCTCTCTGTCTCTCTGTCTCTCTCTATCTCTCTCTGCCTCTCTCTATGTATGTTTCTCTGTCTCTGTCTGTTTCTGTCTCTCTCTCTGTATCTACAGTATGTCTGTCTGTCTCCCTTTTCTGTATGTCTGTATATTTGTGTGCTCTCTCTCTGGCTATTTGTCTCTTTATCGATTGTCTCCTCTTTTGTTTTCTGTCTTTCCATTGCTTGCTTCATTTTTTTTGCATTCCTTTCTCTCTCTCATACTCTCCAATTTCTTTCTCTCCTCCCTCTTTCAATCTTTGTCTTTCTGTCCTAATTTTTATTGTTGTCCTACTCATCTGTCCTCCTCGTTTCTCATTCTCTCTTTACCCCTGATTTTAACTCATTTTCCATGTATGTTTGCATTCTTGTCTCCCTTCTAGCTGAAGTTTGGTTTTCCAAAGGAGAAAGATCGTGATAAATCTCACAGCTTCCTGATGAAGACTGTCAATGACTCTTTAGATGTTGTCGAGTTCATTTTGAAATCTCTTCAAAGGGTATTCCCCCTCACAAGCATGGAGTAAGTAACATACCATCTTCTCATCTCATCTCAATTTCTACCTGAGATATTAAAGTAATGTTTTGGAAGCTTCACAATTGTTTCAAAGTCCCAGATGAAGTTTTTGGAAGCTTCGCAATTGTTTCAAAGTCCCAGATGAAGTCTTATTGGACATGCTTAATTTCTATGCTATAATTTGTTTCTTATAAATCCGGTTGCAGGATATAAATACGCTATGGTCCCTGCAGTTTAGTTTCTAATAGCTAACGTGATAGTTAAGTTTCTTTTTTGTGAATAAAAACATTATCATGTTTTTGTATTGATCTACTTGGATTGATCTACTTATTTTCAAGGAATGGCTACCACATACATTTAGTAGGATCCTGGAGACAGCCTGTGTAGTTCTGAAATTCAGATTGTCTTGCTTTATACTTCGAGAGGTGTTGCATTAGAGACGTGGATGCTTTAATAGTTCCCTTTAATAACACATGGGATTATGGACTTCTGGACCCTGTTTCATAAAACATGTTATCAATAACAAGTGTCACATTTATATAACGAATTTGCTCTCAGCAAACAAAATGCAATGATTTCATTAGCTTATGTTCCTGCAACTTGTTATTGTTTTATGAAACAGGATCCAGTTTAAGGTCACTTAACATTGACATGTTTCTTCATTCACATAAAAATGAATTACATGTATGTGTCATAAAATGTTTGGTGAGCATTGTTTGCATTCATCAATGCACTAATTATTCAAACACACAAACAAACACATTTTAAATTTTACCTCAAGTTTTTTTTTTTAGGCCGCCATCCTAGTCAAGCATCGCTTATGATTGCGGTCTCCTACACTTTTTTCACAGATAGTTCAGATAATACTCTAAATTTATAATGATATGTCATAGAAATATTAAGTTACGTTATTATATATGTAAGACAACATTTTGACATGAAGTTATTATTGTTTGTGTATTTTGTATTATACCTTACGTTTATATGTTCTTTGCTATTCAGTTATTATAGTTTGAAAAATGCAGTAACTAAATCAAAATCAAAATCAACATACACGCTCTTTCTCTTTGTCTCCCTCCCTCCCTCCAGGAAACTGATCAGACGGATCCACCTGGAGCCCCAGGAGCGTCAGAGCCACATGGAGGCGAGGCTCAATCGTATGTCCATCGTGGAGCAGGGACCCTGCGGTGGGTTCAGCCACATGTACAAGTTCATGTGTGATTACTTTGATCTGCCCTATCTTGCTGAAGTAGCTTGGGTAAGCCATCAATGAAAGTTCTTCTTTAAAGCCCCTCTTAAAACTTGTTGGGATACCCACATTTCCAAATATTTGATGGCAAAATTTCACTTAAATTGTATCATAATGTGAGAGAGGATGTCATTTATTAAAGACACACTTCTTCAAAGATCCCCCCCCCCCCCCCCCCAAAAAAAAAAAAAAAAATGTGTATGAAGACAAATATTGATAAAAGAATATACCAGGCATAATTTTGGTTTTCTGTTTTACGCAGAAAACCTAAATTTTGTATTCTTTCATTAATATTCAACTTCAAACACATTTGTTTTGAAAATCCTTGTAGAAATGTGTCTTAAATGACATCCTCTTTCACATTATGATACAATCTAAGTGAAATGTTGCCATTATATTTTTTGGGGTCCCAACACTTTAGAGGGGCTTTAATCACGTTTCTTTGTGGTAGTTTGTCTTGTTTCTTCATAATAGAATGTATTGATGAAGGGTAGCCTGCTGTCTAATGAAGTGTTTTGATTAATCAAAGCCCTCCAGTCAACTATAAAATTCAGTTACTATTGCTTGTATATATACAGAGTTGCGAATGTTATCAGTTTCAAATTATGCTGCAATTGAGTAATATGCAAGAAAACATACAGATATCAAGCTCGTCATCCGAACTCAAAGGCAAATAATCGTTGAGTTGTGCTTTTTTAGTGAATAATGGTTCAGTTCATTCTTATTGTGCTTATTAAAAAAAACTATAAAAACTAAGTAATGAGGATTTACTTGAGCCAGTTTGTCTCTGAAACTAAAACCGAAGCTTAGCTTTATGTAAGAATAAAGCCTTGAACCAAACCACCTATTAAATTGTATGGTAATGTCTTGACTTGATTCTCATCTTTATGTTTTGTAGGATGTGGATACCATCTATCTATCTCAAGATTGTAAAGAGCTGAGGATAAATGACTTTGACGACCTAGAGGCAAAGTAAGTCACTTCATCAACTTTCTATGCTAACAATTATCCAATATCTATGTTAGATGCTGCTTATAAGTATCGGCTTGCATGGGGATGTAGATATACAGTAGACTTACGGTTGCACCCTGTGAGAGAGAGAGGGGGAGTTCAGGACTCCCCAATCCTCCCCCTCTCTCTCACATGGTTTGTTTTACCTGACTGCTAAGAAAGCATATGTATGCTTGTACGTAAGAAACCAGGGGACAGACAGCTTTTAGTTCTGTCTGATGGACTTGGTAATGAGGATTAACAATAATATAGCAAAGGGCACTAGCGTAGCGACTTGGTTTCGGACCCAGGATCTCCCGGTTATGAGGCCAATGCTCTATCACTGAGCCATTGCGTCTTCTATAAGTTATAGTGATAATATTGGTTTCTTGTACAGCACTCATATCTGTCAGAGTTGACACTCCTGGTGCTCCCAATTATTACCCTGGCTTTAGCATGCCATTACGGCACTCTAGCACTTCAAGGAATTAATTTCCGCCAGGTACCCATTTACATCATCTGGGTTATGGATGAATTGAAATGAAAGTTCATCTTATCAGGCAAGTGTTGTATTCAGGAAGACATGGAACAATTCGGAAGTGCTTGGTTATCATTACGATTGCCAAAATCAATATAAGTTGATTTCCTTCCTTTTCCTACAATATTTTTATGTGGCTAGACATTTATTTACATTCCTCCTTCCCTTGAAAAAATGGAATAGAGATAAACTGGTCTATTTAAAGGTTTGTTTTATCATAAGCTGTGTCTTAAAGAATCAGGCTTCAAAACAATGACTCCATTGGACACTGCTAATTGTAAAAAGTGATCTCATATTCCAAACACTTATAACTTTCTTTTTATTTGTTGGATTTATTTCAAACTTATTGTAAATAGCAATCTTATATTTCAAACACTTATAACTTTCTTCTTAATGGTTGGATTTATTTCAAACTGTTGTCATTCTAGTCCTCTGCTTTCTTCCAAATGAACTTGTTACAAAGGTTGGATTTCCCTTTGATGTATGACACATTGTGCTTTGACGTTCATTTTGAGAATTGCAAATCATTTTTTTTATCTGTCTTGCACAATAGCAACTCCTTTCACTTCAAATAGTACAGCATTTTGGTAGAAATGTAAGTTGGCTTGAGTATCCTGATCTCTCTACAATCTTAGTCATTGGAATGCGCTTGCTTGAATATCTAACTATAGATTCTGTTTCAATACCTATTGTATGTTGTATCCTTTTTTTTGCAGACACATGTTGCCTATCATAGCAGTACTAAACTACAACACATGGTTCACACATCTCACAGTGGTCAACTACAAGCTAGTAAGTCACAAAATAGTTGTGGTATCAAAATGTTCTTGAGGTTGAAATAAAGTGATCATGTTTGAGGATTGCTTTACCCAACTGCTAAGAAAGCATATTAAGTAAGCGACCTTGGGATCAATGGCTTTAAGTCCTGTCTGGGGGACTTAGGGTTAGTTCGGAATGAAAATGGAATTTGAATGTAAGTTTGGACCAGCAGTCAATTTTTTTCATATATTTGAGCGAATAGATGAAGTTTTCTATCAATAAGAAATCTTAAATGTCAACTATGATCAGTTCAGGACATTTTTTTAACATTTTTGTCGGGAAATGATGTGCATTTATAGATCAGAACTGAATTATACCTTTAAAGTGTTAATGAAATGAAATGATAATTTGTGGATAGCTAGAGTGTATAAAATCAACGTTAAAAACTTAACTTAGCATTGTAATAATAATAATAATAATAATACATATGATTTATAAGGCGCCAAATCCACTTGACAGTCAAATGCTCAAGGCGCAGCTTGTGTAAGAGATGAAATACATACATGATACATTTATACAAAGTGCGATAGGAAAGGTACAGATCTGAAAGGTTATGGTAATCAATTATAAGCTAAATTAAACAGATATTTACTGGTAAATGGTTGAAAAGTATGAAATTAATAAAGGACAACATAAAACCCTGCATATAGAGGGACTCCAAGTCAGGCTTGGGTTCCGTGCGCGCCCTATTCAATGTAACTGCGTACACGCGTGTTAACTAGTCTACTTAATTGCTATATCTCTTTGTCGAAGTAATATTTGAAGCTTGTATGTTGCATACAGTATAGCCACATGGAACCCCTTACATCGAGAGCAAATCATGTGTTGGTAATTGGTACACTTTAACTGTTAATTTTGTCTGTTTTGTTTGTTTTGTTTGTAGACATCAGAAGCCTTGAAGGAGATTCCTAAAGTCATTCTCACGTCACACACTCTGGAAAGTCTAACTCTAGATGGGGTTGGATTGAAGTGGTGAGTTGCAGCGCTAATCTTTTGGAGATTGTCTCATACTCCCCAAGGAGTGGAGTGTGTGCACTATCATGTGGGGATTTCCAACTAAATCCAATGACAGGAGTAATGCTACTGTAAAATGCTTATAAAATTGATATAGAGCACTATACAATTGTGACTTTTATTATTAATTATTGTTGTCATTGTCTTTGTCGTTGTCATTGTCATTATTGTTATTATTCTTATGATTCAGAATAGATTTTCAAGTTAACTGGGACTGTCTTTATCAGGCTAACTCGTAAATGATAAAGCAGACTTTGGATTAAATATTCAGGATTAGAGGATATATCTGCTTCATAGTGTTTACACACTATATAACACACATTACAGAGCCGTATTTCAACACAAAGAAAAATAAAGGGATGTGCAAGAATATACAAAACCTCCAACATGCTCCTGAGAAAAGAAAAAAATTTAAACTAGGACGAGAGAGATTTTAAGATCGTGTAGAACAGATGTCTAATTATAATCACTATAGTGTTTAATAGGTTCATTATGAAGTTCTTTAAATTAAATTTTAAACTATGAGGATTTTACTGCCGTTGCTCTTTCCTTATTCTATTTATTGCAGACTGCAATTAAATTCATACTGGACGATTGGAGGCCAGCATTTGGCCTATAAAGTGAATGTATTTTCATATTATGTTCATGTTAGGGGAGGGGATAAATCTATATTTTCACTTCCAGTTAGGCAGCAGTTATGTAATGTTGATAATTAGCCGGCGTATTCCTTTAAGAATCGTGTAATATTACTTGATCTTCTTGTCATTTGTATAAACCAAGCATGAGGATTTTGACGTGTTTCCTGTGATTTTTCCCACAGGGATTTCTTGCAAGAGATGAGCATATCTCTGACAGCAAACACAGCATCTAACCTCCGCAGTATCAACCTCTCCAACAACCCCATAGATGATAGAGGGATACGTCATCTGTGTGGTCCACTACAGAAGATGACCCATGGTCTGGTAGAACTTAGACTGGTCAAGACTGGGATGACCGCTGAAGGTTTGTTACCTCTACATGCAGGGATACATCCGGGATTCTCTCAATAGGCAGGGGGGGAGGGGGCATGTTTCTGAAAAATATCTGACAAGAAGATGACCTATGGTCTAGTAGAACTTAGACTGGTCAAGACTGATGACCATAGAAGATTTGTTTCCCCTATATGCAGGGGTACATCTAGTATTCTTTTAATCGGAGGAGAGGGGGGGGGGCATGTTTCTGAAAAAACTCTGACAAGAAGATGACCCATGGTCTAGTAGAACTTAGACTGGTCAAGAAGACTGGGATGACCGAAGAAGGTTTGTATTTATCAAGACCACATAGAAAATGTTGTTCTATCATTAGCCTGTGAAGATCAGTTCTGACTATATTAATGTTGTGTCAGGAATGTTGATATCAAACTTGAGTGATCTTTTACTTCTAATTTGAATAATGAATAACATTTTGTTTCCAAAGCTTTATACCTGTATGAAAGTGTTATTTTTACTGTATAGATTATGTACTTTAACTTCTTATTACTTTTCTTCTTTGTTTTAATTGATGATCCTATTTTAATGACGATTTTTAAAATTTTATTTGTAAACATTGTGTAATTAGTCCATAGACCACTACTTTTAATTTCTAATAAACCACAGTGAATTGAATTGAATTGAATTGAACTCATGAATATTGATGAGTTTTCTCTGACTGATTACAGGTGCGTCTCACCTTGGCAAGGCACTTGGAGAGAACAACTTCATTCCTACGACACTGAAGGTCTTGGATCTATCAGGCAATGCCTTCAAGGATGCACAGCATGGGGTAAGAACCTGTCACTTGATCCACCCCCTCTGTGCACCATGTACTGACTCCCTTTAACCATTTGCTTACGGGAACCTGGTGGTCTGTAAGTTAAGCCTATGGGACCTATAAAGTTCAGTAGTCTTTGGGTTATAATTCATCCATTTATTTATCTATCCTGGTTTGTGTAAAATAATGAGGGCTTGGTGAAATATGAATGTTGTAAGGTCATTGTATTTTTTTCTTTTTCTCATCGATTCCAATGTGCTGCCATTTATGTAAACTTGATACATGTTGGTACTATTCTACTGCCTAGCCAGTACACAAAATTTGATTCAATTATTCACCAATAGCAAGCAAGATGACCAAGAATATTTTTTGTTAATTTCAACTAAGAATATTTCTTTATAGGAAGCAATTTGTAGATAATTATGGCCATTTTCATCTATGTATTTCTTTTTTCAATATTAACAAGGAGTAATGGGCTCTTGAAACTTATTTCTGTAATCCTAATCATTCACCCATGAAATATCCCTATGTTTCAGAATGTTTACTGCTTTGATCATTGTCAGTACCATCATATTTGTTTAGAAACAGTAACCATAACAACTTGTTATTGTGTTCCAGTGTGTTGTTGTCTATTCATCCATGGGCATTGGTTTAGTAACCCCATAACTGCCATAATCGTATGTTTCCAGTAATCAGTCTAGGAAGTATATAGAAACCATTTGTGTATAGTTTATATCTTTCTAAAAATAGTACTGTAGTCAAAACAAAGACAACTTATTCACATACATTTTGGTATACTGTTAAATATAGGAGAGAAAAAAAACCTTGTTATTAATATTACGTCAATAAGACCAAACACTTATGAGTAAAAAGTAACGTAATGAAACATTGTAAAAGAGAATTCAATAATGGTGTAATCTATTTGAAGTGGGTTTATTTTAAAAGGATTTCCCTTTTATGGAGAAAGAAATGAAAATATAATGAATTAATGAACAGTATTTCATTCATATGCATGACTTCCTGGATGGTCGCTGTATATAGTTGGGTCCATCTCAGTTGTGATGATTGTTCCATCTACGTGTAGCTTTCATTTCACCGATATTTACAGTCAACATCAAAACAGAAATTATAAATATTCATTGAATTATCTTATATACCTTTAGTGTTTGACTCCTACCGGTAATCAAACAGAAAGCAAGTTAAATGCTCTTAATATATTTTAGCACTTCTACTTTATTATATTTCATCCTAATGTATTTGTTCAACAACCTTTTTCCCGCTTCCTTGTTTTGACATGAACGTCACATGTTTATCATGGTAGAAAGCTTGACTACATCAGTGTCCTTGTACCTCTTAAAGAAATTTTCCACTTATAGTTGTAGGAAAGACTCTAGTATCCAATCCAATCCAATCCAGGAATTATAAAGCGCCAATATCTAGTTGCCTAATCAAAGGCATAAGTATAAGATTAGTTTTAATTGATGACGGAGTAACTTTACCAAATCATGACAAGGTTATACCGACTTTATTATCACATGATGTTGTTCTATTATACAGACTGTTAATATCTTAAAGAGGAGGTTGAGTCTTGGGAAAGGTGAAAATAATTTGTGAGCTTTTTCATTCTTTTTATGTTAATTTGGAATAGTATCATATAAAAAAAAAAAATACCACTAAAAAGGATGGCTCTTCAAATGCCATCATAGTTAAAAGATGACAAGTAACAGCTAAAGAATGTGGGCCACAGTTTTCATGCCACATGTTTGTGTAGTCCTGTATACACATTTCTGTGTACAGTGCATGTATACGCCAATATCTTTGTGCCTACATGAACAACCTTTCCAATTGCTTGCTTCCACACAGTTTCTTTCACAGTATAAGTCACATGACCAGAACTAAACTATTTTCTTTAAATATTGGTTAAAAATTTATCATGCATGATCTGTCAATCACCTTGCATGCTGTATAACTCAATCATGTGACATTTAGGGGGCGATGCATCTGAAATTCTTGGGATATTTCCAAGAATATTTTAGGATATTGTGATTGAATGGATAATTTGGCCAATTAATTTGTGTCGGGAGAAGGAAATAGATATATGGCTGACTTGGTTCTTGCCTACCCACAGAAAGGACTCCCTATATTTGAACAAATGCGACATCACATGTTGGTGAGTGAGGCATGAAGCATGTGCAAGTAGCACCAGGAAACCTTAGTCAAGAAGGATCTAGCTAGGAGAGAAAGTAAGAGAGGAGAGAAGAGAGAGAGAGAGAGAGAGAGAGAGAGAGAGAGAGAGAGAGAGAGAATTATATGTGTATTCATGAGAAAGTAAGAGAGGAGAAAAGAGAGATATGGAACAAGAGAAAGGAATTATATGCTTATTCATGAGAAAGAGAGACAGAAATGAATAAGTTATAGTACTATTTATCAGAGAGAAAGGAAGTGTTTACAGAGAGATAGAGAGAGAGAGAAAGAAAAAGAGTCTGTGTGTGTGTGAGAGAGAGAGAAAGAAGAGGGGACTGAATCTATTTATAAGCAATCTTCTGACATTGTGCCTGTGTATATGAAGCCTGAGGCATTGTGCATGGAATGATTAATAGAAAAGAAAGACATATAAAGTGATTGATATCATGTAGGATGGTCATGATGTATCAGAATGTCTTACAAGTTTATTTCATGTACAGCATGAGTAGTTGGCATACATCAAAAGGCATAAGACTACTGAATCTGGATTTCAACACACTATAGAGACAAAAAGACTCTCTTGCCATCAGCAAAGTAGTTTAACCAATTGTCCCCTGGACCCGGGTTGATCATGTATTAAGCCTATGGGAATGAGAGAACTCAGTGGTCAGTGGGTTAAGGATTAGTTAAGAGCTCTATTAAGTGATATAAGAGGCTAAACTCTCACTTCTTGTTTTGGTCATCAATCTGTTTTGTTCAATAAGAAGCATGGTAGATATTGATGAGTTATGATGCACACTGGGAAGTGAGACTGTGGAAAGCAACATAGTGTTGGTTGTTAAAGGAAGACCTAACTCTAGGGTTTTTATGACGAGGATGAGTTACTTTCAGTGAAAGCAGAAAGTTATATAGATTTGAGAAATGAGAGGAAAACAGGGCAGGGATGATAGTAAGAAAGTTGTGCAAATCTACCGAATCTCAAATCGGCAAATCATGTATTTGCAGTATTTTTTTGATTTTGTACAGATGGAAGTTATCCTTATTATCAATGATTTTGACATGACAGCACATGTTACCCATAATTCATTTTTTAACAGCGACATTTGGAAAAAAATCTTTAGAGAACTCTGGAAGTTGACAGATTATTAATTGAGTTGGTATTTGGAGCTTTCTTTTGAAGGGTTTGTTTAACTTAAATTTGTCCAATTGTCTTCATGCTTTCACCAATCTCTATCTCAGATATGTTTGCTTTCACTTCAAACATCGTGCTATCGGAATAGGATGCACTTCAGATATTTGTGCATGAGCTTTGATAGAAAGCATGATTTAAAAAGTATGTTGGTAGGTCGAATGTGATATGATAGGCATCATAGCTATAAATGTCAACATTTCATTATATTATTACAATAGTCTGGTTTACCAATATATTCAAATTTATGGATGTTTCTGTCCTGGGGACCTAGTGAATAGAAATTGATGGATTGATTGTTTTGTTTAGAGTACCCATTTCCTATAATTATAGACGTAATGACATTGCTGTCATTGTCAACTGAAAGTAAATACTTTCATTACTTTGGTTCCTAACCCATAGTGGTAAAGCTGAATGGAGCCAAGAGCTTTAAAGGTACTATGTCCCATTTGCAGCCCAAAAAATGGGAGGTTAATTCCAACGGCATTTGAAAGATAATACTAATTAAGAACTTCCCTTAAAAAAAAGGGGGGGGGGGCTTGAAAATGTTTTTAAGTTGGAAAATAACGACTATTAGTTGTCGAATCGACTTAAGAGCTATAGAGCCAGTAAGTCATAGTCTGATTTTCAGACCATTGTACCGAATGGTAGTATGTTTATGCTGCGCAAAGATTCAATCAGTTTAATTTTGGCCATTACAAGAAATGGGTTATTGATGTAGACAAATGCTCATGTACCCTTTACAGCTCATTTTATGTATGTTATTATCAAGGAAGGAAAAAGCCAGTCAGTCACTCAATAGTGTCTGACAGTGAAGTCTAGCAAGTAAACAGGTTTCCTTGCATAATTTGAATATTAGGACCCTGCTCAAGTTTAAATTTCACAGATAGGACATACATAACGTATTCGTAATTCGTGCAAAGTTCTACAGAATTTGATGTTGGCTGCAAAAGGGACATAGTATCTTTAAGGGGTTGTTTATCTCAGAATTCATTATTCATATTCTAAGTAATAGTGACCTGTAGACTATAAGGAAAATGCACCCTAATCAAATGACTATGATAAAAAGGGAAAAGAAGGAAAAAGATATGAGAGAAATGGAGAAAAAAACAAGAAGACCCCCTCCCATGCACCCCATCCCATCAGAGGTTAAAAATGAGCATATTATCATTTTCCGAGTGAGACCGGTGACCCCCCCCCCCCCCCCCCCCACTCCCAACAACGGCAGGTTCCTTTCAATGGCTGGACTGGACTCGCATTATGCCACTATGCCGTTATAACAAAAAGTAATGAAAAGTGTAGGTAACTGTTATCAGAGATTGCACACTCATACTGTCACATTATATATAGTGGTATATTTTGTTACATTGTAAATGATGATCGATGTAAAATAATAACAATAATAACTTTCAATTTATTTAGGGCACAATAATTAATACTTAATTCTCTGTACACAAGAACCTTTATTATTTGACCCTCTATTCTCTTATCACCTATTAGTCCAAGTGGAGTGGAGTAATTATGTAGTTTCATCTCTTTGATTATGAAAGCGTAATGATAAATACATTGATATTTATCCTTTTTAATACAGATTTAATCATAATGAACCTCTGGACTCCATAGATGATTTCTAGAGTTA